CCAAAGGGATCTGCCCTTCTAGAAGGACCATAGATTTCAAGCTGGAAAGGACTTCAGGTCCAACACCTTGATTATTTCAGAAGAGGAAACTGAGGCCCAAAGAGCAGTGAATTAGGATCATAGAACACACCAGGGAGGGACCTCAGAGGTCTTGTTCTCTTATTGTGCAGAGGAAGACACTGAGGCACAGATTTAGGATCACAGATTAAGATCTTGAAAGGGACCTCAGACCTAAGTAGAGCTCTGGTCCAACCCCCGCTCATTTTACTGAGATCCACTGTGACTTGTCAAAGGTCACACAAACAGCAAGTATCAGAGCAAGGATTTGAACCCAGCTAAGTGGTGCAGTGGATAGAGTGCTGGGCTTGGAATCAGGAAGACTCATCTTCATTGAGCCCACAAATCCAGCCTTAGACACTTACTTAGATGTGTGACCTTAGGTGAATCACCTAACCCCATTGGCCTCAGTTTCCTCATCTGTCAAATGAACTGGAGAAGGAAATGGCAAACCACTCCAGTATGTCTGCCAAGAAAACCCCAGATGGTGCCCTGAAGAGTCGGCCACAAGTGAACACACACACAAAAGAGCATTCTTTTGCCTTTCTTTGTTTTCCCACTGCTAGAACCCAATAGGCACTTCATAAATGCTCATTAGTGGATGTGTAAGGATTGTTTCCTTGTATCCTTAGAGCTTAACACAGTACCTGATCCACTAGGAGTCCTTTAATAAAAACTTGTTGATTGGTTGATAGGTGTGGACATGGCTGTTAACACCTGGTTGAAGGGATTAAGGTTTAGGGATTGGGGAGTGGAGACTGGGGATCATCCTGGGCTCAGGCAGCATTGAACTAAAGATGTGTGAATTGTTAAGGTGGGATTCTCTTCCATCAGAGCTATTCCTCTGAGCTGGGCCCATAAGAAGGGCATGGAGGGTGGGAGCAAGGCCGGTCAGGTATCTGGCACTTTGGGAGAGAGAGAGTTGAGCAGTGACATTTGCAGAGAACTACGGACCTGACAGGAATAGAAGCATTCCACGGGCTTTCAGCCTCATTTCTGACCTCCTCCCCAAGTTTCAGGCGTGGAGCCATCTGACTCAGCTTCCCAGAGAGAGGAGAGATTTCCTCGACAACGTGGTGCTCGAGGATCAATGAGCACAGTAAGCCCAGTTACATCGAATCTAAACTCTCCTCCTTACAACTTCCACCTAGTTCTGTCCTCCTTGAATGCAGCTAACACCCCTCTCCCGCTCCCCGGGTTCTCTTCCACATCAAACAGTTTCTTCCTACAACTTTAACTGGACAACATGGCATTTGTTCTTCAGTTGTTTCACTTGTGTCTGAGTCTCCATGACCCCATTTGGGATATTCTTGGCAAAAATCCTGGAGTGATTTGCCATTTCCTTCTCAAGCTCATTTTACAGATGAGGAAACTGAGGCAAACGGGGTTAAGTGACTTACCCAGGGTCACACAGCTAGCAAGAGTCTGAGGTCAGATTTGAACTCATGAAAATGAATTTTCCTGACTCCAGGCCTGGTACTCTGTGCACTACGGCTGCTCTTAGCTGCCCCAGCATGGTGTAGTAGAATAGATAATGCCCTGGACTTGGAATCAAGAAGATCTAGCCTGGTTTAGGGCCTCACTTTCCTTTTCTGTAAAATGGGAATAATAATGGCTCCCATTTCAGAGCAAATATAAGAGCACAGATTTAGACTTGGAAGGGGCCTTAGAGGTCTAAGACCAAACCCCTTATTTGACAGATGAGAAAATCGAGGCCCTGAAACATAAAATCATATGGGTGGTATCAAAGGTGGGATTTGTACCCAAGTCCTCTGTCTCTAAATGCAGCTGCTCTTTCCCTGCACGATGGAGTGTTTTGAGAAGCTGATGAGATCATTGCAGGGAAAACAGTTTGCAAACTTCAAAGGCCTGTATAAAAATTGTTTCTTCGTATTTCCCAGGATGGCTTCTCTAATATTTGAAGGCAGCTACCATGCCCATCCCCCTCCACCCTTATTTTCTCATCAGGAAGGTCTGGATTTTCTTCATTCATCAGTTGCCAATTGCATTTATAAACTATAATAAGACCACAGAACCTGAATCTAGTTCAGAGACCATGTGATCCAAGCCTTTCATTTTACAGATGAGGAAACTGAGGCCCTAAAGAAGGTGACTGACTTGTCCCAGGTCATATGGGAAATGGATGACAGAATTGGGATGAGAACCCTGGATTTGGGGACTCCCAGGACTCTGACCACGACACCAGAAGGACTGTCCTTAGATGGCATGGTGGAGAGCTGGTGGGTGACTGTTGGTCAGTGTTGGAGGGGTGGGAAGCATACATTAAACCAAGATTTTAATCAGCTCTATTTCATATGATTCCTCTTCACATTCTCCACATTCTAGTCCAACTTAGCTGGTCTTTGTCCTTGGAATTTTCCTGCCCTCCCCCATCACTCTTTCTTTGCTCAAATTCTTCCTGATATTTGGAATAGATTCCACCCCCTCTCCTCCACATTCATCTGGTCAAGGTCCCAGGAAGTACTGAGGCTGGATTTGAACTCAAGCCTTCCTGACTTCAGGCCCAGCTGTCTATCCACCTTGCCCCCAGTTGTTCCATTTATTCCCAAGGAAAAAGTATATGTGTTAGGTGAGAATATGTGTGTGTACATGTATGTGTCCATGTGTGTAAAGTAATGAAAATCCATATAAAGGATGACATGAGAAGCACAATGGATAGATCGATAGGGGGTCTGTGAGTCAGGAAGACCCTGGTTGGGTGGCCCCCAGCAAATCCCTTCCCTCTGGGGCCCCAGAAAACTTACTGACTACAAATGGCAAAGCAGGTGCCAACCTGCAGTGAGACAGGGAGTTACCTCACCAGGAGCTCCATGGACCAGTGAAATCAGATGCCTAGCTCATCCGCTAGTTTCAGCGGACTAAACCTTCTACCCTAATCTTTGCCTAAAGTTCCTGGAGCTACACCCTTGGTCCCATGATTCTTTCTAGGCCTGGACCAACATTCTGTGGTATCCAGGCCTCCACCTCCCCTCCAGAACAGGAAGGGTTAGTAAGGTCCCTGGACAACAGCTTAGGAGTTTGAACCAAGAAGGAAGAACCTCCCAACTCAGTTCAATTCCACAGCAGTGTGTTATACATCAAAAACACTTAACAATGGAATATACACATGTTAATAGCATATGACAGGCTCTCTAGGCATTCAGAGTCAAAGCACCTAAGCAAACTGGAGGATTGGCCTCCTGGGTCCCCTCCTAAGTTCTACAGGCAACAGCCTAGCAAATTAAGGGGAAAAAGATAAGGGCTCCTTAAGCAAACCAATTACTCTCTTCGAATCTTAGTTTCCTGATCTGTAAAATGGGAATCATTCACATGTGCACAATTTGCTCATCTCCAAGGATTATGGGAGGCAGCTAGTGGCAGGGTGGATAGAGCCTGGAGTCAGGAAGACCTGAGTTTAAATTTGGCCTCAGATATTTACTAACCCCTTGGCCTGGGTAAATCCCCTCTGTATGCCTCAGTTTCCCCATCTGTAAAATGGGATAAAAAATAGCACCTTCCTCCCAGGGATGTTTCGAAGATCAAATGAGATAATATTTGTAAGCTATATATATATATATTATACATAAATACTAGCTGCTATCATTATGAAGAAAGTTCAACCTTAAAATGCTCTAAAAATATAAGGGTTGTTTTTGTTTTGTTTTGTTTTTTAAAGGTGAACAGCCTCTGCCACCTTTGCAGGCATGAGTTCAAGAAGAATCGCTTCATAAAGCCCCAGATGGGAACAGATACCGGGTGGGGTCTAGTTTTGTTTACTGGAATTCCAGCGACAGCTTCCCCTGATCTGCTGGATTTTTCAGCAGAGCAAGGAAAGGGGCCGGTTGTGGGTTTCTGGCCCTGCCACGTGTGTTTCTTCTTAATTCATCATCCTCCCAGGGCTCATCTCCTGTGCTTCCGATCCCAGATTCTGGCCGCCCGGTTCTCATCTCCAAATGTGGTTTGAGAAGAGTGTGAATCCCAGCCGGCTCACTTACTGCTGGTGTGACCAGGACCAGCGCGCTGGACCTCTCTCTGGTCCTCACTTTCTTCCACTTAAAAATTAGGGGGCTGGACTGGATGGCCAGTCACACTGCTCTTCCAGGCATTATTATTCTCTTTTGTGTTTGTTTGGTTATTGTTTGTTTTGGTTTGGACCTGGTAGGGAACTCCAGAGGAGGGAAACCAGGTTAATCATTTCAGTCTTAGGAAGTTGCCTGGGGACCCTGGAAGTTAAATGACTTGCCCAAGTATGCGGCAAAGGCAAAATGTAGACCCGGGTCTTCCTGACTCCATAAATGAACATTCTATTTCACGTTGTCTATGTCATCACCACCACCACCATCCTCCTCCTTCTCCTCCTCCTCCTCCTCATTATCATCTTTCTCCTCCTCCTCGTCCTCCTCCTCCTCATCCCCCCTCATCATCATTTCCCCAGCCTCCTGCTAAAAGAGAGGGCATCTGCCTTCTAACTTTCACCTACAATGAATGATTAGAAACAACTTGTTAGACGAGAAAGCACTTTCTTTTTACTTCCCAAGATAAAAAGCAACCGGTGAAACCAGCCTAGGAAAGGGCAGCCCCAGCACCTGAACTTGACTCTTAATCACCAACCGTCTTATTAACACCAAGTTCGGGAGTTTCTCACTCCCCCAACTCCGTCTGCTGCCCTGTATTCCTCAAGGTACAGCTGCTTCCTTGGAAAGGCCAGCACCGACTGAGCCCCCAGCTCCGATCCAGGCTCCCTGGAGGGCTCGGCTGCTTCCCCCCACTCCCAGCCGTTTGCAAAGAATAAAGAGCCCACAGGGCTCAGGGCCCTGCAAATGCCGCCCCCCTGCTCCCTCCCTAACCTCCCTAAAAGAGATCTCCCCCGCTCCTACCCAGCGCTTCAGCGCCTGCCCACAGGCCAGGAGAAAGAAAAGAGCCCACGAGTGGCGATGACCTACCCTGAGCAGCAGCTTGGCTGTTGGCTGGGAATTCCCAGGAAGAGGTCCCGCTTGTCCAGCCTGCCTGGCCCCACTCGGGCTGCAGAGCTCTCTCCAGCAGCCCTCACTGAAACTGCTCAGCTCCTCGGGGAGCCAGGGCCAGGGGGCGGGCCCAAGGGAGCTCTCCAAAGGTGTCAGCCAGCCCCCGTCCCCCCTGGCCTGGCTGTGCCCCGCCCAGCCCAGCCCAACCCTGGTTTGTATGTAGGCACAGATCTGGAAACCTGTTCTCCAAGTTGGAAAGCGAAACATCTGCAGTGCTCCAGGAGCCCAGGGCCAACCCTGCCCACTCTGGGGCCAGTTAGTGGAAGGCGGTCTATCCTTTCATTACCGGCCATCGGAGAGGAAGACTGGAGGAGGCCAAATTAATAATTAGCTCGTCCTGGGCTCCTGGTGGCTCTGGTCTCCCTAGCACACCCGACCAGGAGGCCCAACCCTTCCCCGGGGCTTCCCAGGGTTCCCTGACTCACCAGGAGCGCTCCAACGGCTGACCCGCTGTTTTCTCACTGGTGCTGGGGAGCCCCAGCGGCTGAGTCTACTTACGAGGACAGGACCCAATGCTGGTTCTTGAAGGCACTTTCATACTCCAGAGACCTAGATCTATAACTGGACCAAAAGATGGGACCTTAGAAGCCTCCCTTGCTTTAGGGAAGAAAAACAGAGACCCACAGGAGTTAAGTGATTTGCCCAAGGTCACAAGGGTGTGGCACAGGCCAGAATTCCAACCCAGGTCTGTGACTCCAAATCCCTGCAGATGGTCATTACAGCCGCTCTCTGATCCCCAGGAGACCCCAAGCAAGGTCAGGGCAAAGACAAGTGGTTCTGTCCTCATTGTAGCCATGAGGCCCAAAGTCAAGGAATGATATTAATAATAATAAATAGTATTGATGTGGCACTTTATGATTTGCAAAGCATTTCACATACATCATATTTCTTGATTCTCACAACAACCCCAGAAGGTAGGTGATATTATTCCCTCCACCCCTGCAAAAACTAAGAGCCAGAAGGGTCAAGTGATTTCCCCAGGGTCCCACAGCTGGGAAGGGTTTGAGGCAGAATTCAATCTCTGAGGTCCAGCACTCTATCCACTGTGCCACCTACCTACCTCTCTCAACTCAAGTGTCCAAAGAAGGGCTGGAATCCCAAGTTCTACTCTACTCTCTCTCCTCCCCACCCCAACCCCACCCCACCCCACCCAAACTCCCCTTCACACATACAAGCCTCAAAAAAAATGGCTCTGGTTAGTAAACAGGTTTTTGGAACAATGGAAAAAGCAAGGATGGGAAGCCAAGCAACCCGGCATTGGACTCCAGACCTGGCACTCATTGGCTGTAACCTTAAGGGAATCACTCTCTGGGCCTCAGTTTCCTCCTCTGGAAAAGGAGGAGAATGAAATACATGTTCTCAAAGTTCTCAAATAGTTGACCTATTCTTGTTCTTTTTTTTTTTTTGGTGAGGCAATTGGGGTTAAGTGACTTGCCCAGGGTCACACAGCTAGTAAGTGTCATGTGTCTGAGGCCAAATTTGAACTCAAGTCCTTCCGACTCCAAGGCCAGCACTTCATCCCCTACACCACCTAGCTGCCCCAACATTCCCTGTTCTAAGGGCCCTATAAGTTGTGACAGTTAAGCCTCCTTCCGACTCATATTCTGTTCTAAGGCCCTTCCCAGCTTGAGTCTCCGTTCTAAAGAGACTTCCAGCTTTGACATTTTTTGTTCTGAAGTCCCTCCCAGTCTCTGTTCTAAGATTCAAGCCCACATAGCTCTAACATTCTATAGGCCCCTAGCCTGGAATGCTCCAAATCTCTTAGCTCCTACAGCCAGAGACCCAGGGCCGATGCCCTCCCATAAGGAGGGTGCCTGATGGAAACAATCACAGAGGTGGGAAAATGTGCTTTCTCTCCCTTGGGCTTGCTCCCAGAGACCCTCTAGAACTGCTGGATTCCCCTGAGACATGGCCAGAGGGCTCCCTATCTGTCTTCTGCAGGCAACTGTGAATTACTAATTGTCCCAGTTGAGGGAAACAGCAGCCACTTTGGTTTGGCCCTTGAGTGTCCGAGCAGGAGCAAGCTGGTCTCTGTCCAGCGGGCTGGGCCCCCAGAGCTATCTCCGAGAGCACTTGAAATGCTTGGCTTGCTAGAAAAACTGCATGCCAACCAGCCCCTGAGCCAGGGGCACTGGGGCCAAGCAGGACTCACAGACTATCCCCCTGAAGGGATCGTTGGGAAATCTATTCAACTAAGCCCCAGGCCATGGTTCCAATTCACCCCAGGGCCTCTTCCAGAGAGAGAATCCTCCCTCTTACTGTTGAAAGGGACCTTGGAGACCAATTTTTATTAAGCACTTCCTGTATACTGAATATTAAACTAGCTGCTAGGAACAGGCAGGAAGTTTGGGTTATTTACGTCATTAGACTGTCCAACCTGCCCCGCAATGTAAGACTCCTCTCTATGGTCCCTGACAGG